ATAAAATGGCAAAGTGAGATATACGGACGTTATGTTCTGTTAAGATTTCAGAAGATTCGATTTTTGGTGAATGGCATAATAAAGGAGAATCTAATAGAGGAAATGGAGAACTTTCATTAAGTTCCAAGGAAAAGTAATAATGTAATTAGGCCAAGAGGGAATAGCAAGCTCAAAATAAAAGAATAATTTGAACCAAAGCTAGACTGCAAAATGTCCACAGAAAGTCTGTGAGAGTGAGAAACACAGGTTGGCTGGATTGCAGTGGGGTGGTTAGCTTGTGGAGATGATCATACTGAAAACTAAGGCTCTCTATAACTTTTTTTTTTAAGTAATAGGAAACTAACAGAAGTTCTTGCACTCTTGGGGGCGAGTTAACATGTGAAATAACATGCTAAATCAGTAGGGGAAATATTGTGGCACCTTCTGCAGACTTGCTCACAGATTCTGGAGTCAGAATAAGATCCAATCCCTTCTCCATGATTCACAGGCTCTGTGACCTTGGGTAATTAGTCTAGCCCCTCTGTGCCTTGTTTGTCAGCTCCAAAAAGGAGCTTATAATCCCATCTCAGAGAGTTGTTCTTATAAATTATAGACAGTTATATGGGGAGAGAGGTGGCTGCGGAGGGAAGATGGTGTAAGTTTGGAAAACGAGGCGCCAGGAAAGGAAGGATGGAGAAATGGTGGTAGCAGCCATGGAGAGTTCACCACCACTCAATCCTGTGGGGAAGTACCCACAGCTCAGGGAATTTCTCCTGTGTCCATCTACAAATATACAGTGCAAATAGCATCCTGTAATCACAGAGTGATTGCATATTAACTGAATTTTAACAAAAGCAATAAACCTAGGCCTCTTTAGTGCATCCACCAGAATGAGGGCATTGCTTTGTTAAAGGCCCACTTTTCAATCATATTCACTGAAATGGCGCTTTACTGGTAATTAAAAGAGTGATAATCAAAACCTTAGTGCAGCCTCTCAAATGTCAGCTAGTAGAACTTGGATGGTTAATAAGAGAGAAAAAAACAGCGCAACCAATAAACACAACAAACCAATCACAGCTCTCTTTGGCTTGAGAATCTGCAATGGCTTTCATACCTGCACCCCTGTGTTCATTGCAGCATTATTCACAATAGCCAAGACTTTGAAGCAACCTAAGGGTCCAGCAAGGGACAAATAGATGAAGAAGGTGTAGTATATATACATAATGAAATACTACTCAGCCATAAGAAGCAATGAAATCCAGCCATTTGTGACCATACGGATGGACCTTGAGGGTATTATGCTAAGTGAAATAAGTCAGAGGGAGAAGGTCAGATACCATATGATCTCACTCATAAGTAGAAGATAAAACCAACAACAAACAAACACATAGAGACAGAGATTGGATTGGTGGTTACCAGAGGGGAATGGGGGAGGGAGGAGTGCGAAAGGGATGATTAGGCACATGTGTGTGGTGATGGATGGTAATTAGTATTTGGGTGGTGAACATGATGTAATCTATGCAGAAATAGAGGTATAATGATGTACACCTGAAATTTATACAATGTTATAAACCAATGTTACTGCAATAAAAATAAATAAATAAATATTAAAAATAATAATAAGAAAAAGAATGAGTCTTCACTTAGCATCATGCCCTCCAGGCTCACCTATGTTTTCACAAATGTTGGAATTTCCATCTAACTGTTCTTCTTACTCTTTTTTTACATTATTGTAAATTTTTAGTGAGATGTAGAGATAAATACAAATTTAAGAGAATCAATTGACATTTGACCTCAAAAGAATATAGACATAGTTACCAATGGTTGGTATGTCTGTAAGGAGCCATTGGAGATGCTGCTTATTTCATGCTTTTGCAAGGCACGGTCATCTTCAGGTCAAATCCTCAACATATTGGAAATGCAGAGAGCTTACTTTAAAAATTCTTCCCTAAGAAAATCATTTAATATAGCATTTGGTTTTCATGGTTGTTTGGCTAAGCTTCTGATATTTCCATGATTGCTTGCCCACATTTCTAAATCATTCTTACTGAAGAAAAAAAGTCTTTTGACAGAGATAACTCTGAAACATGCGATTGAAAATTTGATGTTTTGCATAGTCAGAAAGATGTTTCCTGCTTAGAAAACGTTTTCTCTGTAACACAGATGTGCTTTTCAAAGCCTTGGAATTTCCTCTTTTGAAAATATGTTGAGCTGACTGAAGTTTTTAAAGAAAATAATTGTATCCTGAATTTAGCTCTGCTGAAAAAGCATGCAAGATTGCAATCACGCTCTTTGTAAATGTTTTGAAGTTTTCCTGGAGTTTATCATGTAAGGATGAACTGAAGGGACTGGGGTCTCAGGGTTAACGTAGACTTTGATTTTTAAAAGTGTGAGCAAGTGCATAGAGGTAAAAAATAAAAAAGTACCAAGGTGTACATTATCCTTAATCCTTAGAATTTAAAAACCTCGATTTATAATATTCAAAATCCTTAGTGGTCATCATTTGTAATGTGTTTACCATTAAAGTTTCCTAGTAAAATAAAGACTGAGAGTGACTGAATGTGTGACAATGGTAGGGAACGTCCCTTTACGTGCTTCCAGTTTGGGGAATTACAAATACAGCTACGATGAGCTTTTTCTTTCCAAAGTGGCTATGCCATTTGCATTCCTATCAGCAATGGATTGGAGTTCACTTTGCTCAGCATTTTTGCCAACACTTATATGGCCACCCTTTTTGCTGTTGTTGGTTCTAGTAGATATGTATGTCATTGTGGTTTAATGTGAATTTCTGTAATGGTTAAGGATGTTGAGCATCCTTTCATGTGCTTACTTGCTATTCATGTATCTTATTTAGTGACGGGTCTGTTCAAATCTTTTGCCCAGTTGTTTATTGCTGCTGCTTTTCCACCATTGAGTTTTGAGAGTTTGTTACATATTCCGAATGCTAATTATTTATTAAATATATGTTTTCCAATATTTTCTTTTAGTATATGGATCGTCTTTCATTTTCTTAACAGCATCTTTCAAAACTCAGAAGTTCTTAATTTTAAATCGTTCTATTTTTTTCATTTAAGGGTAGTGATGTTGGTGTTATGTCGAAGAAATCGTTGCCGAACTCAGGGTCACAAGGTTTTTCTCCTATGTTTACTTCTAGAAATTTGATATGTTTTAACATTTCGGTCTATAATCCATTTTGAGTTAACTTTTGTATACATTGCAAGATACAGGCCAAAGTTCCATATTTTTGCAATAGAGATGCCCGTAGCACCATCTGTTGAAAAGACTATTCTTCTTTAACTGAATTGCCTTTGCAACTTTGTAGAAAATCAATTGACCATATTTACCGGGTCTATTTCTAGACCCTTTTCAGTTGCACTGACTCCTGTGTCTATCCATTTGCTCACAGCACATAGACTTGTCTACTGTAGCATCCGTAAGCCTTGGAGTCAGATGGTATAAGCCCTCCAATTTTGTTCGCTCTTTTTCAAAATGGTTTGAGCTATTCTGTTCCTTTGAATTGCCTTTAGAATTTTAGAAATGGTTGTCAATTCTTATAAAAAATCCTGTGTAATTTTGACTCAAATTATATTAAACCCATACACTAATTCTGGGAGAATTGACATTATCACCTTACTGAGTCTTCCAGTTCATGAACAGAGCACACTGCTGTGTTTATTCAAGTCTCCTTTCATCTGTGCTCCTTTCCTAAGTGTCTTGTGGTTTTGGCACATGCATGATGCACATACTTTGTTAGACTGATACGTAAGTATTTCAAGTTTTTTGGTACTACTGAAAAGAGTCTATTTTTAAATTTCAATTTCCAATTGTTCATTGCTAACATATAGACATGCGATTGATTTTTAAATACTGATTTGCTAATTTCAAGCATCTGCTCTAGTAGCTTTCGTTGTAGATTCTTTTGGATTGTCTACTTAGACAAGGTCAAGTTGTCTGTGAATAGAGACAGTTTTATTTTTTATTTGCAAGCTGTGTGCCTTTTATTTCTTTTTTCCCCTTGTTGCACTACCTAGAATGATGAATGGAAGTCGTTATAGGGGGCATTCCTGTCTCTTTCCTGGTTTTAGGAAGAAAGCATTCAGTCTTTCACCAGTAAATATATGTTAGCTGTAGGTATTTTGTAGATCTATTTTATCAGGGTGAGGAAGATTTCTTTTATTGAATGAATTAATATTGAATTATGCCAAATAGTTTTTTCTGCATCTAGTGAAATGATCATCTGCTTTTCCTTCTTTAATCTATTAATATGATTTATTTTGTTCATTGATTTCTGAATATTGAACCAGCCTTCCATTTCAAGAATAAACCCCAGATTTTGCCATTTTTTCGTGTTGCTGGGCTCACTTTGCTAACGTTTTTTGAGGATATTTGTGTTTATGTTCATGAAAGATATTGATCTGTACTTTTGTTTTCCTATAATGTCTTTGGTTTGGATTTTTGTGTAATACTGGCCTCATAAAACGAGTTGGGAAGTTTCCCCTAAACTTCTTTATTGAAGAAGAAATTCTGTAAAATTTTTATTATTTCTTCCTCAGATGCCTGATAGAATTCCCCAGTGAAATTTTCTGGGTCTGGAGTTTTCTTTGTTTGAAGCATTTTAACTACAAATTTAATTTAATTACTTGACTTTAATAGATAGAGGACTATTCTAGTTACGTATTTCTTTTTAGATGAGCTGGTAGTTTGTTACCATTTTTTCTTTCTCTGTGAGTTTTTCTCAAACCCTATCAGTTGAATTCAGGTATTTCTCACCCCTGCCCCCAATGGTAACGCAGACCAAGGATTTAAAACCTGTGCATTAGGGGCTCTAATAGCCACAGGAGTGCGTGAGGTCTCTCAGCTGAGAGCTCTTGCTACTCAAAGGTGGCAGGAGAAGCTAGCTTGCTGACGGCGGATGGCGGAGCAGCCAGGGGGCATTGTTCTCCTTTGGCCCCATTCCATGTGTATGTCTCAGCATCCAGAAAGACCACGGGCTCAGGGGAACTTTGTTTCTGCCATCAGCACTTTGGGCCACCCCTGCACCCAGCACTGCTCTCCCCACAGAACAAAGCAGGATGGTGACTTGGCATCTGGACCCAACAGAGTCATAGAAGTTTGAGTTCCTCTTAGAATGAGCCACCCATACGCATGTGCCTGGACTTTCCTGATTTTTCCACTAAAAGTCCAGGATCCTGGAACCACCTCAATCCCAGCAAAGTGAATGTTTGGTCATTTTAGTCCGTACCCCACTGAACTTCCCCAATTCATTCAGCTTTGTTCTTAGAGCAGCTGAGGCAGGGGGCATGGGCAGGGAGGCAGGAGGGGCCTGCAGGGAAGGGCGTAGCTTCTCAACAGGAAGCAAAGCTTTGCAGTTACTTTGGGTTTTCAGAGGCTACCTGTTTAGCTCAATAAACACACTTTTCCTCCAAAGCCCTATACCCTCTTGTAGAGATCATTTAATTCAGCAGTCACAGCCATATCACCTTTCAGCTGGGGGCCTGGGGTTCACTGCCTTTGTCCATGATACCATCCCTCTCTTCTTCCATTAGGAAGAGAGTGAACGACAGCCAAGGTACCATTTGAAGGGTTGGTTTCAATCCTACTTCTTCCTGCTCAGCCTCTAAATATTCCTGAACAGATAGGAGAGGGGGTACCCTGACTCCTTCTCACCCACTAGTACGGTGAGAGCATTCCCTACGAACCCTGAAAAGTCTTCTCCTTTCCTTCCACCTAGCCTTTGGCGTCCTCATTTTTTCTCTTCCAGAGGCCAAGTCTCTGTGAGCATCCCATCCTCATCATCAGAACTATCAAGAAATGTGCAGGGTCTCAGATTTTTACTCTATTTGCAAGCCAACAAGCTGGCTTGTTTCATGGATGCAGGCAGAAGACATAAGACACCTGAGTCAGGGATAAAGGACTTTAGGAGTCATGACAAAAGCAGTGGCCAGAGCTTCATGTTCATTTGCATTGATTCTCCATGCCCATCAAGTCCCACAGAGGCGATGCAAGGGCCCTATCAGGGATGACTGCAAACACAGTGGGTTATGTTACAGGAAAGGAATCTGAACTTGTTGCATTCACTGCTGTTATGGTAAGCAGAAGCAAGCCTGCTCTTTTTCCAGATGTTACCCTATCTTTTCTGGTTAATGCCTGCCAACACAATCCTGAAAATGGCTCTGAGTGGTCAGAGCCTGCATTCTTGGCCTGCCTTCAGGGCTGTGCTGGATTACCTCTCTCAACACAACTCTTTCTCTAAATTCTAAAAATGACATAGATTTTCAAAGTAGCTGGCCAGAATTAGGAATATTAACTGGTCAAATAGTGATCCAAGTTTAGTGGGATTGTCCATTAATGACTGCTGTGAAAATGCACATCTCCCTTTTCTGCTATCAGTGGGCACTGCATATTTGAGTAGGGACAAAACTCTTTATTTATCAATGAGTCCCCTTCAAAATTCCTTATGACTTTTCCAGACACTGTAAGTCACTGATTCTATGTACAGACCTACTCCTCTAGAGGTGGAGGAAAATGCTTTACTCTTCCCAGAAATTAGATAGTCGATCATAAGGTTAATAGTCTCAATAACTCTTTCCTGTTAGTTTTATAAATGCACAGATGTTCCTCCATTCATGCATTAATGTCAGTGCTCCCACCATCCCATCTTTAGCTTTTTGATTTTATCACTCACAGGAATTTGTTGTTCATCATTTGGGCTACCATCTATGTACCAACAGCTCTCAAATTTGTACAAAAGTCCCGGCATTGCCTGCTCTTCAGACACTTATTGTCTCTATGTCTGCTGAGTAGTTCCATTTGGATGCCCTATAAGAAATTCAGGTTTAATATGCCTCCTGAAATTATTTCGTTTTCCTCTCCTACTGCCCCATCCCAACTCTTTCCCTTGTAGCTCCTGTTCCATTTATGGGATCAGCTTTCACCAAGTTCCTGACCAAGAAATCCAGGACTCATTTGAAAACTTCCTTTCCTGATATTAACCAATCCAGTAATCATCCTAAGAAATTTTACTCCACAAATATATTTAAAATAATTCAAATCCTTTTAATCAGTGTCATCATCTTTTGTCTGAAATACTTGCAACACTGTAATATTAGTTACTTCCTCTAGTCTTCACTCCACTTGAACACTTCCTCACCACCACTGTCCAAAATATAATATTGTTTGTGTCTCCTTCGTTCTCAACAGCCTTTTAAAGACCCATTTCAACCGTAAGTATATAAGTTCTTTAGCATGTTAAAAATGGGTCTCTACCAGGAGCCTCCAGCTTCATCTCCCCTCACCTTTTCCTAGAAAACCATGGCCTATAAAAGCCAAGCTGCTTGTATTTCTGTGATTTCTGCATTGTTCACACTATTTCTTTTCCTGAAATTTTATTCAGCATTTTCATTAAGAAGGCACCTTTAATAATTTTTTTTTCTATTTCCACTCAGCCTCTCATTCAGAAACTCTCTTTGATTCTCTACACAGAGACAACTTTCCCTAATTTAGTCATACTATAACAGACAATTCAGATATTTACTATATACAATTTTTACATACACAAATATATGAAAGTGAAATTATATATCTATAAGCTTGCCTTCCTAACAAGACTAAGCTCCTGGAAAACAGTTAGGGTGGTATTATATCTATATTTCTATCCCTTGCTTCTAGCCCAGTGTCTGGCCCCAAAGTAAGGACCCAATAATGTTTGTTGAGCTATTCTGGGCTAAATAGCCCAGGAGTGGGTAGATTCTTGAAGTAAGACGTGGCTATCATTTGTATTTTTTTAGCTAGCATCCTTATCACTGAACTAGGCCCTGGCATTAGCTAAGAGTAAGTAGAGATGATCCTCTTCTACTTTAATTGTTCATAATACCCTTTTGGCTCACAGATCACTTGAAACATATGATGATTGTAGAGAACACTTTAACATATAAATCTATCTATGCATATACACACCAAATTTTGTACGAAATTCCAGGAAGTTCAGAGAGCTCTTGATCTCCATCTCCTTTCCAAAGTATACACAGCCTTTCCATTCTGAGTTGTTTGGTAGGATTGCAACAGTATCCAATAAGACCAGGTGAACCCGGAAGGAATGGAAGATAGGTGCATATGCATGGATGAAGAGACCTGAAAGAAGTGGCTTAGCATGGATCCAGAGGGTCCTCCTTCAACTTTTGTGGAGAGAGTTGGTTAGGATATGGTAAAAGAAGAACTGTAGGGTTGCTTACCTTGACTGTCTCCCTCAGTGTTTGTCAGTCACTGGTGCTCCAGCATATTTATCATGAGAAATTTAGAGGTGCCCCACAGGTATCCACCAAGGGCCAGAGTTAGTGGTGCTGATTGGGGTGGAGAATTAATAAGTGCAAAACCCCAATCCTTTAAGGAGAAAATAGTGTTATGATGAGAAGTGTTTAAGAGCTGTTACATGACAACTTTGTGGTGAAAGGAGATAATCCAAATGTGTGGATTTATGAGAACAGAAGGCCAGTCCTTCCGCCTCCCTTCCTTCCTGCTTCCCTATTCCACTGATCATATCCCTGTCAAGTAGTTCCTCTCTTAGTTAATCTTTCCCCTCATCATATAAACATACTCAGATATCCCATTAACAAACATGCAACAACAACAAATTATAAAAATAATAGCAAAATAATCTAAATTCCAAAACAAAATAAAATATCTTGACTATAACCTTCCTCTAGCTTTCACCCAGTATCTTTTCATTTACAACCAAAATTCTATAAGGAATAAAATGAAGTCTAAACTTCCACAACCTACCTTCTCCCTTTCCATTCACCCCTAAATCAACTGCAGTGTGTCTTGCGTTCATATAAATTACACTGAAACTGCTCATATGAAAGTCACTGACAAGCTTTCAGTCGACTTACTTTATCCTCCTTAAAGGAATTTTTCAGTTGTGTCTATGATGACATTCTACAAAAATTGGGATATCTTTGGCTTTAAATTTCAGAAAACTCAAGTAAAAATGAAGTAGTCTATATGGAAATTTTATCTCACATAACTTAGCCACCACCCCTTAATAAGAGGCGCCAATATATGGAGACTCCATGGTTGATTAATCATCATTTCATGAATCAAGGGCACTGCTGCTTTTCATTTTCAATTTTACCATTTTCAGACTTTACGTTTATCAAGGTGGTGTGTGTGTGTATCTTTGGCAAGAGCAAAATTGCACATGCCAATGCCCATCCAAAGCAGGGAGTGTTTCTCCCCATTTACCTATCTTTGAGAGCCTGAAAACTTTTTCCAGAAATCTTTTAGTAGCCCCTCCTAACACAGGTTACATACCCACCTATAAATGACGCAAAACCATGGTAGAAAAGACGCCTATTTTCCTAAGGGTTCCTAAATAGAGAAGATCCTACTTGGCTTTAGGTCCCATGCCCACCTATAAATGAATTAATTCTCATAGGGAAAGACCACCATGACAGGCCTAGACTAATCAGAATTTTCCTGATTCAGGTAGAAAACTAGAAAACGGATGGACACAGTTCTGCCAGCGAGGAGGAAGGGGTGATATTTGTTGGGTGGACAACAACGCCTGCTGTATATTTTTTACTGGATTTTCTGCTTCTAGTACAACTGTTCAAGCTTCCCATCTTCTGCTCATCCCTTAAGTGTTCATATTTATAGAGTTGTTTAGGGCCCCTCTCCCATCATTTTTTTCCTCCCATCTGTTCCCTCACAACTTTGGGTCTGTCTACCAACTGTACCCTCTTGACTTCGAAATCTTTGCTTCTACGAGAGACAATTTACCTGTGTTTGAACTGATATCCGCTTGGGCAGAGGAGACAGCAAATCTAAACTAATCACCCCTCTGCAAACACACACACACACACACACACGCACGCACTCACACGCACACAATGACACAGATACACAAACACGTGGGCTCGTTCCAAATCTTTACTTTTGTCTTTTTTTTTTTTTTTTTTTTTTTTAGCATCTGTTGAATTTATTCAGCATAACCACAGAGGCAGTGCCTTCCTGCCAGCACACACAGACACCAACACAGATACAGCACAGTGTCCACATTTAGCCCCGGCGCATTCCTTCGGCGGCTCATTTGTACGTCTTCATATGCCACAGCCCGTCATTTAAATAATGGATGTTCTCGATGCCGATCCCTTTGTTGACTCGCCCAATGTCCTCCGCAGACATCTTCATGACCCCGACACACAGCGCGTGCTGTTTCCCCTCCGCCATGATCGCAACCACCGTGTCTTCCGCAGCAGGGTAGAGCCTGGCTCCAGGGGAGGTCAGGCCCGGGCACATGATGTTGGCTCCACTGAGGACGAATTTGATGGCTCCTTTATCCACCTGCTGGCGCGGCAGGATGAAAGGATACTTGTGAAGCAGCCTGAGGGTCGGGTAGAAGGGCCCTTCTCTCTGTCTGAAAAACAGTAACTCCCCGTTGACGGTCAGGATCTCGATGTGCTCGTGGCACCGCACGATCTTCACGGGGTCCTTCCTGGGCATGATTTGAGGGAGCCACGGCTCGACGCCTGGAAACTGCTCTACCAACTGGCTCTTGATACCCTTAATAACCGAGGTTTTCAACTGGATGCAGTTGGACACATTTTCCTTTTCATCGAATTTCTTGAACATGATCCAAGGTTTGGAGGGAGGGGGGGCGACGACAGACACGGGCCCCGAATGCGGAAAAGAGCGAATTCGCGAGGGTCCGGCACAGGCGCTTACCCGAGGCGGGCCGGCGGGGACGGTCGGCGCTGCTGTCGTGAACCGGAAGGGAGGCGCGCTTTACGGCTCCCCGTGAGCTCCACTTCCGCTCCTCTGAACATGGCGGCGCGCTAGCCGGCGGTTCCGCTGCCTGGTCCTCTCCAGAGCCGGTAGGTGGAAGGGCGGGACTTGAGAAGGAAGTCGAGCTGGAGCAATCGTTCCTGTTGCAGGAAGACAAGAAAGAGGGGGCCTGTCTTTTGTTTTTATTATTGGGAAACCGTACAGTTATTCATCCAGTTACCCAAGCCAGACGCCTGGGGCGATTCCTGGCTGACACGCCTCTCCTCCTCCCCACGGTCGCTACCGGAGGTCGAGTCGTGTTCGTTATACCTCTCCCACATCTCTCACAATCTTCCACTCCTCTCCCGCCCTCTAACACTGTTTAGCGCAGGCTCGTGTAATTGTAAACAGTTGCTGCCTGGCACCCCGAATGCAACCTTGTCCCTTCCGAGTTCTCTCCGCCTGCACCCGGAGAGGGGAGGCTTTGCGGCTGGGGGGGAAGCAAATGTCGGAGGATTTCCATCCTTTTAAACGTACCCAAACTCATTTTACGCCCAAGATACGGTCTCTCTTGGGGAATGTTCCAAGTGCTTCTGAAGAGAATGTGCGTTCTGCTTTGTTTGGGTCCGGTGCTCTGTACCTGCTAGTGATGTCCCGGCGGTGGGTAGAGTTGTTCAGATCTTCCCTGTCCTTACTGAATTTTTGTGTACTCATTCCATCGATTAGTGAGCAGCCTATTGAAATCTCCAGCTATGATTGCAGATCTGTTTCCCTTCTCATTTGTATCAGCTTTGGGTTCATATATGTTGAAGCTCCGTTATTAGGTCCATACACGTTCGTGATTAATGCGGAGGTCACCCTGTTAATTAGGATTTTATCCGTATAGATTTTACTTGTCATCCTAAGAAGTATGAGGCCCGTGAGGGTAGGAATTGTGTATTTTATCTCTGTATTCTTTCACTTAGCACAAGATCTGTTTCATAGTACATACTACATACGCAATAAATGACTGATAAATAAGTGAAAGAATTCTTCCTCTCCACCAAGGTCTGGTCCCTTTTCCAGGCAGTGCTATGTGAAAAGAATAAGGGCAAATCCTTGCAGTCTTGACACTTCTTCTCTCCGATAAACACATACTTAATTTAGGAAGCCTACACTGCAGCAGGAATTATAACAGGTGCTAGATATACAAGAAAGATAACATAATTTCCACATTGTTGGGAACTTATAGCACATGAGGGTTTCTTATATGTGTATATATATGTATATTTATGTATTTGTATATATAGTATCCCCATTCTCAGTACAAAAACCTGTATTAGTCTGGGGTCTCTTCGTCTGTATGTAAATATAAATATAAATATGTAAATATCTATAATATATAATATATATAATAATATAAAATATAAATATATGATATAAATATATATATATAAATATATATATTTAATTTTTATTGTAAGGAATTGGTTCACATGACTATGGAGGCTGAGAAATCCCAATGTCAACAGTCAACAAGCTAGAGACTCAGGAGAGGTGACGGTGTAAATTCCAGTCTGAGTCCAAGTCTGAAAGCAGGAGAGGACCAGTGTCCCAGGTCAAAGGCCATCAGGCAGGAGGAGTTCCTTCTTACTCGGGAGAATCAGCCTTATTGTTCTATTTAGTCCTTCAAAGGATTGGATGAGGCCTGCCTGCATTAGGGAGGGCAATCTCCTTTATTCTGCCGTTTAAAATGTTAATCTCATCCAGAAAAACCCTCACAGAAACACCCAGAATAATGTTTGACCAAATATCTGGGCACTTGTGGGCAGACCAAGGCAGAATAGTGGGTGCTTGTGTGCTGATCTAGAACCCAGGAATGAGTCCTGCTCCATCACTTATAGATCGAAATCCTGGAAGTTACTGAACTTGTCCATGTCTCGGTTTATTCATTGTGAATGTGTGGTTAACAAGAGATGGGGGTGAGAATTTCTTGAATTAATACTAAGAAGGATTGGGTTTTAAGTATTTCACATAGCTATTATTATTAAATTAACATCAAAACAATCACATAAATATTTTCATAGGCTCTTCACACAGGATGTGGTACAACTGGCCCCAGATTTGAGCTTTCCTGTTTACAGCTGAGGCTCTGACCTCTGTCCCTGAGGCTTCACTCCAGTCACTTGATCCTGTGAAGTGTCACACATTTCTAGACACATCTCCAGTTGTTTTACAAGCAGCTAACCTTGTTCATTATGGATGGGTTTTATGTGCTTGACTCTTATAGGGTGATTCTCTTTCTTTAGGTCTTAGGGGTTGCGCCATTGTTCCTGTGTGCAAAGTCAGAACTGTATGAGCAGCATAAACCAGATGTCCTAGAAATTCGAGAGAGGGAAAGTCATTGCTGGCTAGAATGACCAGGGTGACCTTTCTGTAGATGCCCAGTAGCGTAATCAGAGGTGATCTGACCTGGAACTGGCTGTAAGAGCAATGCCCAAGGGATGTTTTATTGAATCTGCTTTAGCCCAAGGACTCTAAGAAAGTTTAGCCTGGAGTTCCACAGCAATGAAAACTCTTTTCAGAGTTAATCATTTTTATCTATCATCCTCTTAATTCTGTAGGGTGTAACTCTTTCCCAGGGTGCACTTTTTCTTGGCCCACAAGCATCTATTTCCTGTCTACCATGAAAAGGACACTTAAGTGCTAGTTTCTGCTGCTAAGTTCTTCAGTTAAAAAATGAAAAACCTCTTTTTTAAGACTTCCTAAAAATTTATCTTCTCTAAAATCATGGGGCCTGATTCTTCAACTTTATAGAAGAACCTAGGCCTTTGAGGATCACGTACATTACCATATGAAAAAATATGACATACAAGTGTTGCTGTAAACAAACTAACATTGTTAAAACTTTAAAACACACTACCAATTTATTCTGGTTAAATAACTTTAAATTAATTTAAAGTTAATTAACTGAATGGATTTCAAAAAGAAGAAGGAAAGTTAAGGCATAAAATTCAGTCTTTTAAGCCTGGGGTATACCACTTCCTAAGTTTTATCAGCCTCCTTCAGTATCACTTTATTTCCTCATGAAATCTGGATATGGTATATACTTCACAATGTATGGGGTAGTTATAAGGAATAAAAAATACAGTATAGAAAGGACACACCTAATAGTGGGAAACAGAGTAAGTCCATTTAAAAGTGTTTCATCTATTTGCAAAACTCTTTATGCGGTAGTTATAAGGTCTAGTATTATACTATATATGTAAAAAAGTTATGGAAAATTACTGTAGCTTTGGATAATTTACTATCTAAGTGAAATAGTCAAGAGATGCCAGAATTCAGTTTTATGTCAGTATTCTCAAGGGAGTATGTAATCGAGACATACTGATTATGTTGCAAAATTAAGATGATAAACTGAGTGAGAAAATTTCTCAGTTTCCTCAAATCTCCAAAATTCGGAGCATGATTCACACACCTGGGTTGTATTAACAGTTTCAAACATTTGACCTTAACACAGCTTTGTCTGCATTTTGAGAAATGACCACTAGAGGGCAGGAGAACCAAACTATGAAGTCTCCATGCGGTTCACCAAGACTGAAGTACTGTATTAGAAGGAGTATTCTCAACCAGTAGGTAACTATTTTTTATCATACAACTATTTTTCCTCAATTGTATTTCCAAAATAAATAAACCCATCTGTACAGAATCACAAGATATTTCACAAGCTCAAGAAAAGCACATTCTAAATACTAATCTACTTGATTTACAATTTGTGAATTTTCTCTGTATCTGTCTATAATCAACAATAAAGTAATTATTTCCAAAATGATGTCTATAAGAAGTACGTTAGCCCTACGTTTTTGATCTGCTCAAAGAAATATAAAAATACCTTTTCTCACACTGCTTCACCTTATGAACTATTTTTTTCAAAATTAAAAAAAATTATGTATATTGTAAAAATAATCTCACAACATCCAAAATGTTTTCAATTATTTCTTCCTCGTTGCTCCATTCCACAGGTAACACTGCTAAGTTTCTCATATACTCTAAAAATGTTCTCTGCACACCAAGCATATAGAAGGATAGGCAGGAGAGGTGTGTATCCACCCACACTTGTGCTTGCGTGGGGATGCCCAGAGGAAACAGCTGCACATGGGAGGAGTGGGCAGGGGTCCCCTTGATCTTAGGGGCTCTCATTCCCAAAGCAAACCCCACGGGAGGGTTGAGCTCTGGCCTAGGAGTACGGAACCCTGCGTTCTCCTCTGGACTCCGCCCACTTCCTGGGACCCGGGCCAGTTCCTGCCTCTCCTAGCCTCAGTTTCCCACTTGTCCCATGAGGGGGTGGACACAGAACTGTGTGAACGTGACCGGGCTCCCCCCCGTGGGTGGGTGTGGTGGGGCACTGAGTGCCCAGGGACACACGGGCCTCCCTCCCACCTGTGGACCCCACTCGGGGCAGCGGGCCTCAGGTCCGTAGACACAGACAGCGTGTGCAACACACCAATGGCTCACAGCTGGCCAGTACCATGTGTTCCCACCAGCTGCTGCCCTGGGACCTCCAGCCAGGAGGGCCAGAGACTGGGGACATGAGAGTCACGGAACACCCCCACCCCACTGTCCTGGTCCTCAGACTCCACCCCAAGGGCCAGCTCGATGGATGGCTGGGTCAGGGGTCCTGGAGAGGGCAGTGGATTCTGTGCCCAGGCAGGGAACAGGTCAGGCCGCCCCTTCTGCCTCCTCTATACCCCATCTTCCTGTCTTCTCTGGCAGGACCCTGGGACACAGGGTCCAGCCTGTCCCTGGCCTCCCTGGCTGGTATAAGGGGGCCTGGAGGGAGCCCCAGGAGGAGGTGGCCCCGCAATGATGACAGAGGAAGGGTTGGGGGTAGTTACTGTTATTAGGGAGCCCCTCCTGGGCACTCAGTGAGTTCACTTCCTTGTATAGATGAGCAGTGGCACCAGTGCTTAAGGTCACTCAGCTGAGTGACCAAGCCTGGCCCAACTGAGGTTCTGAGAAGTCACGACATAAGCTTACTTGTCACAGAGCTGTGATGTGGCCCCAGGTGAGTCTGACCCCAAAGGCTGTGCTGTGCACAGGAGCCCGAGGAGGTGGCCCCTGAGCCCAGACGTGGAGGTGAGTCCATCGAGGATGGGGGGCTATGGGGAGGGGCGCTGCAGGCTGGGGGCTGTGAGGGAGCAAGGGCTTGGTGGGGTGCCTGGGGGAGGAAGGCTGTAGGGAGGCTGGAGTGGGGGTGAGGGGTGAGGGCCTCTGGACCAGATCACAGAGGGTGCAATGCCAGGCAGGGAGTCAGGGGCCACTGCAAATTGGGGGTGGGCGGGAGACAAGGGGACCAAGGGGACAAGCCACCTGTCCACATCACCAGGGCACTCTTGTTCATGTTGCTGTTGGCCTCCTCCAGGCTGAGGATGAAGCAGCGTGGCCCACCTGCTGGATGCAGAACAGCGAAAAGCTGTGGTTGCAGAGCCCAGAGACGGTGCTTGTGACTGTGTGGCAGTCACAGGCGTGGTGGACGCTGAAGAGGAGGAGGTGCTGCTGGAGGCCAAACTGATGCTGTCGATCTGGGGGAACCGCGAGGAGGTGGCCGCTCAGAACAGTGGGGTATGGCAGGGTCAGCAGAGGCCCTGGACTCTGCAGGGCACCCCGTGCCAGGGAGCAGATTTGGGGGCTTCTAGAAACTGGGGCTTGGCTCATTTTGTGGGTACAGATTGGGAAGGGAAAGGCTGCGGAAGTGCTGCCAGGGAGAAGGGGCGGGCACTGAGCTGCCTTTCTTGGCTGTCAGAGGCCTCCAGGACAAAGCTCGTGGTGACCTCCCACACTCCAGAGCTGGCAGAGCCGACTGAGTGCACGCTGAACACATCAGCGACATGCCTGCTGCTGAGGTGGTGGACACACCTGAGTGTGAGGACCAGGAGTGGGAGCTGCCGCCAGTCCTGGGCTCCATATTGGTGCACTTGTGGCTGGGTGGCGAGACGTGCCCGTGGGCACTGGTCGCTGTGACCAGCACTCTGGAAGGTGTGAGAGACGTGTGCAGAGAGCATTGCCCTGAGGTGGGCAGGATGCTATGCCAGTGCTCCTTGACAAGTGTCAGCTAGTCTTCTGGTTCCCAAAGAGCAGAAGACACCTAAGGCCGTGAGTGGACAAAGGGAAGCCAGGCCCGCCTGTGGAAGGGCAGGCATCGTGGCTGGCAGCAGGAGAGTTGCCGGGTGAATCTGGACTCTGGAGGTGGCCTGGGACACTGAAGTCTGTAAGTGCTTAGCTACCTGACTAGCCAGACACTGGGGGTTGCAGCCTTGTGCTGGCCAGCGGTAGGGACCAAGTAGTAAGTGTCCTTGTCTATCTCGAGTCCCATCTGCTTCATGTGAGGGAAGGTTGAGCTGGCTCCATGCCTGACCTTTGCCCTTTTGGTGCAAGTCCGCTTCTTCTGGACATAGTCACAGTGGGCGGTGGGGTTCACGGCATAGCACAGGTTGGCTTTGTTAGGAGTCTGCAGCTCTGGTGGGAGAGAGGCAGAGGAAGGCTCACCTGTGCTCAGGAGAGGGCTGCAGGCCAGGGAGAAGGATATGCATAGCAACAGAAAGAAGATTAGTGGTGGTCAGGGGGTGAGGGGTATGTGGATTGGGACCCTTCCTGGTGCCAGTGTTTCCCACTCTGCACCCACAGAAAGAGCCAAGTACCCCTGGCTCCTGAACAGAGCTTCTGGAATGCCCCAGAGCCAGAAGCAGGTCTAGAGTGCCTGGCAGAATCCAGGCATCTACTTTAATGTGTACAGGATTTCTGTTTGGTGTGAGAAAAACATTCTAGAAATAGACAGTGGTGATGGTTGCACAGCATATTGAATTTACTTAATGCCACTGAATTGAAAAATTTAAAATGAATAAAAGATAAATTTTCACTGTGTGTAAATTTTAAAACATAAGCTCTTATAAACCGTAAAGTATATGAAATAGAAAAGGAAAATCTGAAACAAAAGTTGTCATCACAAGGGAGGGAAGGCCAGCTCCAGCGCTGGAGCCAGCGCTGCGGCTGATGCTAGAGGTGCAGCTGGCTTTGGGTGTGGAACTGGCATGGGGTCTGGTGCCAGTGCTGGCGTGGGCTCCATCTCCAGCAGTTCTGCCAACGCTAGATCTAGAACTGGCCGTAGTCCTGTGGCTGACTCTGATTCTGGTTGCGGTTCCAGACTTGGTGAGAGAACTGATGATGGATATTGCTTTAGGTCTGGATCTAGAACCCGATCTGGCTGTCACTCTTGAGCTGGTCCAAGTCTTCAAGCTGGAGGTGTCTGATTCCGTGGCTGGTCCTAGATCTAGCTCCACTCGTGTATCAGGGCTGCCTCTAGCTCCATGGCTGTGTAAGGTCTTGAGCTAGAGGTGGCTGGCTGTAGCTTTGTAGCCGCCACTCACTGGCTGTGGGTTAGATGTTGTCCCACCTGTTAGGCTGTGGGCTCTGAGGGTTGGGAAGGTGTCTGGGGTTCTCATTTATACACCGGGTGCCTGCACACTACAGGGAGCGGGACACAGGTGCTGAATACATGAATCGCCCCTTGGGTCTCGGGTTTTACATCTGTAAAAGAACAGCAGCTACCTCAAAGAACGGTTGGGAGGATTACACTGATGCGATACACTGTAAGTGCCTGCTCTGTGCGAGCCACCATTTTGGAGGCTTGGGAATACAGCAGAGAAAAGGCACAGCCGTGCTTGCATGGAGCTGACTGGAGCAGGGCTTAAATGAGGGAATGTGGATCACAGATGAGGGGTCCAAGCGCAGTTGGGAGCAGCTGCCAGGATCAGCAGGTCATACACATGTCTTTGTCCAGCAGCTCAAGACCAACTTGGGTGGGGCTGGAGGGGATGTGGGCTCCTTGGTCTGAATGTGCATGCTACACGTGATCCCCATGTGACCATTCCCTTCACAGGTCCTCAGTTTTGTCATCTTTAAAATGGGCATGTGAGGAAACCCACTCCTAGGTTCCTCCATGAAGTTTATCTTGAACCTACAAGATAGAAAAAGAACTCCCTGTGACGTCTTCCCACTGGTAACCCCAGAGAACTGGCATTTGAGTTCACCAGGGGAACCAGGCAATGTCTTCCAGGAGACTGGTTAGAGTCCCCCCTTTGGTCAGTGTCCATGCTGGAACCGGATCCCTGGGCTTTAACTCCCAGTGGCCACAGTGACCCTGGCATTGGTGGCACACTAGTCAAGCCATGTCTCCAGGTGCTCTAAAAAGCCATCTTCAAGTGGGAGGAACAGAACAGCGAGGGTCAGCGCTGGGAGCAAGCAGGACCAGGGAGGCAGCTTTGCAAATCAGTAGATAAAGAGCTCCCTTCCTTCGTACTTTTGCTGTCTTTTCTCACCTACACTGTATTTCATCTCGTGGATGGTCATCATTCATTTAACCAGATCGCTAAGGAAGGAAATTGGGTTGTATCCTATCTTTTGCTCCTATGACAAAAGCTGCACTGAATAACTATGTACATATGTCTAGGGTAGAGGTGTTTCCATGGTATAAATTCCCTGAACGGGGATTGTTGAATCAAAGGGTAAATACATTTGTAATTTTGATAGATATGGTCAAAGTGCCTCCATTGGAAGGCAACTTGCATTCCCACCAACAAAGAATAAAGTTCCTTTTCTACACAGCTTCACAGTATACTTTCAGTCTTTTGGATTTAGTAATTTTGTCATATCATGACTGAGACTGAGCATATTTCATGTGTTTAAAGCTACTTTTGTGAAGTGTATGATAATGTCTTTTGCCCATTTTTATATTGTGTGGCTTCTCTTTTTCCTATCAGTTTCTAGGATCTCTTTATCTATAGGGGTTGTTAGGCCCTTTGCCTGAGATATAAGTTGCAAATATTTGTTCCCAGCTTATATTTCTTCCTTTTTAAGTTAGGATGTGTTTTCCCCTGGTATAATCTTAAAATGCCACTTCTCCCCAGTTTGATTTATTGTTTTGATACAATCCCTATAAAATGCCTCAGCAGATATCTCTTTGTGGAAACTGATGAGCTAATTTCAAAATTTATGGAGAGATACAAAGGGCTAAGAATAGTCAGAACAATCCCAAAGAACAAAGTTGGAGGACATACAACACCAGACTTTTTATTAAGCTGCAGTAAACAAGGCAGTGAGGTAGTGGCGCAAGGATAGACACACATTCACAGGGAGGAAACTGAGGCTCCAATGGTAACACCTCTCTGAGGTCACTGGGTCTGTCTGTGCCCCTAACCAGTAGGTGGCACTGCCCTCACACCTGGTAGCTGTTGCTCACCGCCCTCTGCTCTCACCTGCTCCTATTACAATCAGCGGCTTCTTTCTTCTTCCTCCAGGGAGAACCTGGTGAGTTCCCCCCTTGAGGACAGATATTCTCTGCTTGGCAGGCTCCATGTCTGGGCAGACATACCACTGACCATGGCTTCACCCAATAGCCTCAGACCAAGTGGAACCCACCTGACCCTACTTTGAGGGGGAAATGTGGGCTCTCTCCCTCCTCCCAACTAAGCAAAGCCCCCTCCCACATAGAAGCTGAATGTGCTGGATATGTGGGCTGGGGGCTGGCGCAGGGGTGGGGCAGGAGTCCCTCCTGGTTCCAGCACTTTTTCCATCTCCAAAGCCCCAGCCTCATGCTCTGACCTTCCAGTAGCTTCGCTGAGCCACCTCTGTGTTTTGTAAAGACCTCCTCTGCTCACACAAGCTCAGGTGGGTCCTGCTGTTGCAACTGAGAGTTTCACCTGGATGGAGCATGTTCAAGGTCATCCCTGTGACTCGCTGAGCTGCCCTAAATGTGCTTTCCTGACTGAGGGGAAGGGGCTCCGTTCCTGGAGGGAGAGGGAGCAGACAGGAGCAGCCAGGCTGCACC